AACTCCCTTAAAGCTTTGGTAGAGTTGGTACTTAGTGCTCGCCTGTGGTTTGGCATGCACTCCCCTCAGCATGGTGGTGTGGGTATACCATTCCCTAGAGGACCCCTAGAGGACGTAGTTCAGAGTTCCCTTGAAAGGGAACGTCTCAGGTTACGTATGTAACCATGGCCTTAAAGGAATCTATTCCTGATTCCAAGCCTTGAGCTCTACCCCGGGCCCAGGAGTTCTGGCCCTAACAGGTAAGTTTTTTGGGGTATGTAGCTTAGGCCTTTGGCGGTAGGGGATAATGTCACTGACAGCTGTCTAACGTCCCAGGGGCAACTCCCTTAAAGCTTTGGTAGAGTTGGTACTTAGTGCTCACCTGTGGTTTGGCATGCACTCCCCTCAGCATGGTGGTGTGGGTATACCATTCCCTAGAGGACCCCTAGAGGACGTAGTTCAGAGTTCCCTTGAAAGCGAACGTCTCAGGTTACGTATGTAACCATGGTTCCCTGAGTAGGGAACGAGACACTGCGTTCTCTAGGTTTCCTGCCATGCATCGGACGCAAGCTTCAGACGAAGAAGCGGATGACGTGCTCTCCCGGTGCCTATTTATACTATAGTCGCACCGGTAGTGACGTCATAGGCTGTCGCCGGCCAATGTTATTGTAGTTTTTAGATATATGCTTCAGACACCGGTCACACTGAAGGTGTTCCCCCATAGCGACCCTAGAGGACACAGTGTCTCGTTCCCTACTCAGGGAACCATGGTTACATACGTAACCTGAGACATTTAACATTGTTCTCTCTTCTTACTGCCGTTATCAGTCTCTCTCAATTTTTTTCCTTTTATCGAACGTCTATCCACTATCATGGAGTTTTTCTTTTGCTATTTTAGCAAATGGGAATGCAAAAAAATATATTTGTGTTAAGCTACTCTCCCATTCATTGCTCCTGTTAACCTGTTCCAAATCGCACCCTAAACCCTCGACGTCTTCCTCCGAGTCCGCACTTTCGTGACGTAATGCCGCTTTGACTGTTGGGTTGAAGTCTGCTGCGGAGCTCGCCCCAGTGCGGACTCAGCAGAAAGAAGTGCGCATCGAGGGCGCATAGCGGCCGCAAAGGGGGCGCTCGCGAGCACCCTTTTGAATGCTAAAATGACGAATGGGACACCCTATGGTCTCGTGGACTTAACGGACGTGCACACGGCGGCCATTGTAAGTCCACAAGACCGACCCTGCGTCTCAATGTTCATACTATCCATCCTAAATAGTATGTTAGATTAGAATAAGTGTGTCCCAAAGCATAGTATGTTGAAAAGAGTATGCCAAAACTCCCCGGATGGTCAACTATTTCAAGTCGATTTTTGAAGTGTAGATCCATGCGCACTCTAATGGCTAATATTGCCCACAATCCATTGCGCTTTGGTGAAGGATTCTGTCCAGAACTACAAACACGAATAAAACGCGTTAAAAACTACAAACATGGCAAAAAAATAACCTGGGAAAAAAATATTTATTTAATGTTGTCTGTGTTATTTCATCTGCAACAGCAATGTAAACTTTTATAAACATCCGTTTGGTCGTTAACTTTTAAATGCATCATTATGCATAAAATATGAGCAGAGTTCTTGGCATGAAAGACCCGCGACTGGCAGATCAATGTGCTACTTCTTTTCTCCCCAAAACAGTAAGAAGTTAAATGAAATGCAATGTGGAGGATGTTAACTGTGACAAGCTGATTGACAGGCCAGTTTACAGTGAGAGGGTGCGTGTATCTATGCGACAGAGCGTCCTTTAAAGACGCAGTTGCGTGACGTGATAGTATGTCCCAAAGCTTGCCTACTCTTCTACTATACACTCAAAAGTGTGTACTTTTTCTTCACCAAAAGAGTACATACTTTAAGGGCGTAATATAAGTAGGCACACTGAGACGCAGCACGAAAGTGCACATGAAGTGTTCCATTTGGGACAGGGCCATGATGACTTCAGGTGCTGAGAAACCCGGAAATGTAAAGGACCATTTTCTGTTCTTTTTTTACAGAACGTATAAATAACTCAATACATATCAAACGATCTGTAAGAAGAGACAGCATTAGTGACCACGTAATGAAAACAGTTACTCACACTTGCTGCATCTGCATAGCCAGATGGAATGAAGGTGCACTGGACAACAAATCACAGTCTATGATGAGTTTTTCTTTTCTCTTTTCTTTTCTTTTTTCTAACAATATAACAAACAAATCCTTACTTAATCTTGACAAACATCAGCAGTAGATACAAGAATTCCATATCATATTATTTAAAACTTTATTGTCCATCATTTCACCTTTAAACAATTACCTATAACTATACCTCTATCATTTGCACATTTCTTGTGTAGCCCAATAATAGCAGAGATCAGTTTTTAGCTGAACCATATCAACAACTCTTCAGATCTCTGGCTCTCTGTAGTGGAGGTCATATAGTCCTACATTACAATAAATTATATTATTACAATATTACAGAAGGCAGAATGCAATATCATGTTTAATTCATGTTTAACACTCAAACTTAAAATACATTTACTTTAAACCTCAATTTTTTTTTTATGAACCTGGTGCAAGGTATCCAAGAACGTTGTTAAAAAAGGAAACTTTTTGTATTCAGTTTTTTGCCCCCTTTTCATTTACTAACCATTCTTCATGTTTTTTTTTTCAGAGATTGCAGCATTTACACTTATCAGCTCATTTTGCTAAATATTCTTAAAAATGTTGTACTTAAGAAAATGTTTCAGTCCCTCTAATTTACATTTTTATTTCAAACTGAGAACAATGCAGGGCAGTTGAAATGTAAAACTGCAAAAGTGACTACAGCTGATGCAGGCACAGACATGATACGTCACATGACATGCACAGACATTATACAATGGACAACTGAAACTAACAGTTGACTAGCTGATATTAAAGTCCCTTTTCTACTCTCAAGACGGGACCTTTTAAATTATACACACTCTTTTCTGTGGACAAAAAGATGGAGTTCCTGTCAGAATTCACAGCACTAGGCCTACTGGTTCCAGTCCTCTCCTGTTGCATTACTCAAAGTTAGACTTTGTCAGTTAATGACTTGTAGGCTTATATGTTGTACCTGATCAATTTGTCTCTCAGTACCTTCAGCAGTTACATTTGTCATCAAGTGGATTTCTGAGTTCCTCTGTACCACAAAACAGTTCTGTACCTATTAAACACAAACAAGTGTTTAATAGGTAGTCTCTGACAATACTTAAACCTTTAGATGCTTTGCAATAGGAAATATTGCCCATTATTGGAATCAAACTACTAGCACCAAGTAGTTGTGCTGTGTATTTATTTACTGTATCGGCAATAATGACGCCAATCTTAAACATCAAGAGTGCAGCAACCGCGCCATCTAGCGCTCAATTTCAATACAATTACGTCATTCAAATGTGTCGTGTTCATTGAGATGAAAACCCGGTTCCAATACAAAAAAACAAAACAAAAAAAAACACTAATAGTTATTTACAAAAGTGTATTTGAAATTGGAATATTTATTAAATACTGAATATCTATTTTAAAGTTTAATTACATCTCGGAGTATCCTTTGAGCATAACGTAATCTTTGTTAATTTTATTATACGTAAAAAAATGAACCTCAAATGTTTTATAGAACAAAGTGCTATTATTCACCTCTTTTTTTTTTTTTTTTTTTTTTTTTTTTTTAAAAAGGAACTATAGAAAGGACAATGGTTTGTGTGAAAAGTACTTATTTTGTCCAGCAACCGACATTTTTCCAAAGCATACGTTTCATTTCCTCCCTAAGATCCTATCTCTTCCTGTTTGGTATAGAGGTGCGGTTATGGTACATTCCAGAATGTTATTACTGTGTTACATTAGCATTGTCCACTAAATGCCTTAAATATAAATGCAGGCATAAATTACAAGCTATATATAAAAAATCAGTAGGCTACTCATAAAAGCTAATCATCTTCAGACGTCTCTCACCAGATCATTTGGCTTTATAATTCCAACACTACTCACTTACAATGTTCAACTAGCCTTGTTCAAAAAGGTATCAATAAAGTTGTCAGTTGTTTTATCATTCTCATTTTTAAATGATTATTATCATTTCAAACATCTTGAGCTATAGGCCTACCCATGTGAAGTAAAGCAGCAGAGAAATATCATGTAAACAGAATGAGTCTCTCTTGGCTGTGAAGATCTGAAACAGATTTGAGTCGCTGCCTCGGCGCGTTTCCATTACAGATTTGCGCAAAACTTTGGCGATATTTTATAAATAGGCGCGTTTCTATTACCCTTCAAATTGCGCAAATTGATATTGCGAATTGAAAATACGCCTAATGGAAACGCCGTCATTTCGCAATACTTTTTTTAATCGACATTTATAAAATATCGCCAAAGTTTTGCGCAAATCTGTAATGGAAACGCGCCGAGGCAGCGACTCAAATTTGTTTCAGATCTTCACAGCCAAGAGAGACTCATTGATTGGTCTAAACTCACGAGGGGGTGGGATGAGAAACCACACCAGACAACAAAACTACTAAAACACTTTTCTGTTGAACCTTTATGGACCAAGAGACAAACGCTAAGCGAATATAGAGGATAAACGAAAGAGGCGCGGTGGACCGGTACTTCTACAACCTGAAAAACCTTTGAATAGCACACCGCTAGAAAAAATCAGTAGACAAAGGAGAGATTTCACCTTTAAATCATTCAAAATACTTACAACTTTTATTCAAAGAAAGAGATTTCAGCGCCATGACATTTTTTGTAATTCCTCGAGTGCCTTTTCTCTGTCTCATGTTTCTGAACGTCTCATCAGCTTCAAAGGTGAACAGCTCAAACAGTGTCAGTAAGTCTTGATTCTCATTATATTAATAACTTTAAGGTTAACACATCCTGTTTGGTCTTTTATTAGTTTATGAAAAGTTAGCCTTTTTGTTAAAAACATAACAGAATAAGTTACGTAGCCTACAGTAATCTACGTAAGCACCATTATTGTTTAAATAAATTAAAACCTCCCTTGATTTTAATATAACAGTTCGAATTAGGTCAACACTGGGCGGCACTGAGCTGTAACATGCACAGACATGAGATTCAATCTAACAGAGCATTTTGCGGTACCGCTGAGAGTAGGCTACAGGAGAGTGAGCAGATCTTTTTAGACCTTAAAATAAATAATTCTTTAGAAAGTAGGTCACCCATAAATGTAAGTTATTTCATCATTACTCACCCTCATGTCATATGGAAGCCATTTCACCACATAACGCAGAGAGAGAAAAACATGGCATAAAATTTGACATTGTGAGTCTGTAGCCTCTGAGATTAAAAAGTCGAAATTTGAGCTAAAATGTCGAAATTATGTGATAAAAAGCCATATGGAGCAAAGAAGCCACAATTGTGACAGACAACTCATGATTATGACATAAAAAGTCAAAATTATAAGACAACCAGCCAGCCATAAGTAAGAATTAATTTAATTAAGAATTGATTAAATATTGATAAGACAGTTGAAAAGTTGACTGAAATTTTTTTCATAATTTCAACTTCTCAAGACAGACAGCCATAATTCATAATGAATTTAATTCATATTTTTTTTTAATTTTGATAAGACAGTTGAAAAGTTGACTGACATTTTGTCATAACTTCTTATGTCATAATTATAAAATTTAAGATGTCATCATTTTTGAAAGTCAGAAGTTTTCTTTGAAATTATAACATTTTGTTGTCAATTTATAATAACCTTTTATCTAAAAATGATGACTTATATCATTATTTAGACATTCTATGTCATAATTATGGTTAGCCAAAGCTGCTTTTTTTTTTTGTTTTTTTGGTGGTGGGAATGGGCTTCAATACACATAATTTAAAACTTTTATGACTTGTGTAGAACACAGTAAATGATTAGTCATGATGAGTAAATTACAGAATTGTCATTTTAAGCAAAATAAGGTGTAGGAAGGGACAACTGATATCTGATTGCTTTCTGGGTGGTCCTACATTGTGACTGAATGAATAAGTCTATTCTGTCATTCTTAGGAAAAGTACAGTTGAGGTCAAAAGTTTACACCCCCCTATCAGAATCTGCAAAATGTTAATTATTTTACCGAAATAAGAGGGATCGTAAAAAATGCATGTTGTTGTTTATTTAGTACTGACCTGAATAAGATATTTCACATAAAATATGTTTACATATAGTCCACAAGAGAAAATAAAATGAATTTATATAAAATAATTCCGTTCAAAAGTTTACATACACTTGATTCACATGTTTTTACCTGGATGATCCACAGCAGTGTTTTTTTGTTTAGTGATAGTTGTCAAGTATTAAAAAAGGTTCAAACACTCACCGATGCTCCAGAAGTAAAAAACATGCATTAAGAGCTGGGGGGTGAACAGAATGGAGAAGTGTACATTTTTCTTATTTTGCCTAAATATCATATTTTTTCATTTAGTGCCCTTCGGAGGCTACAGAAGATAGTTACATGTTACCCACGCAGAAGACAAAATAAGTTAAATTTACCCTGATCTTCAAATTCAAAAAGTTTTCACCCCCTGGCTCTTAACAGTGTTGGGGGTACAACGTGAGTTACGTAATCAGATTACTTTTTTCAAGTAACTAGTAAAGTAACGCATTACTTTTTTAATTTAAAAAAGTAACTAAGTAACGTAATTAGTTACTTTTTTAGGGAGTAACGGAATATTGTAATGCATTACTTTTAAAAGTAACTTTCCCCAACACTGGCTCTTAATACATGGTTTTTCCTTCTGGAACATCAGTGAGCGTTTGAACCTTCTGTAATAGTTGCATATGAGTCATATGAGCATATGAGCAAACATTCAGGTAACAACACAGTATTAAGATTCAAGTGGATGTAAACTTATGAACGGGGTCATTTTTTTATAAATTCAACTATAATTTTTTCTTGTGAACTGTATGTAAACATCTTTTATGTGAAATATCTTAATCAGGTCAGTACTAAATAAACAATAACATGCATTTTGTATGATCCCTCTTATTTTGGTAAAATAATTAACATTTTGCAGATTCTGAAAGGGGGATGTAAACTTTTGACCTCAAATGTAACAAGATATAAATAAAACTGACAAATCTGTCTTTCCTCCACTTAGGGGCGCGAGGCATGCCTCTGATTAACGGTACACTTCCAGACGAGTATAAGGAGCAGATCCAGAGCTACAGCTTTACAATAGTGGTTCCTCTTGTCTGCCTCGTTGCCTTTTTCATCGGGCTTCCGTCAAACTTGTTGGCTCTCTGGGTGCTGCTCTTCCGAACCAAGAAACTCCCATCCACCATTTTACTGATCAACCTTACCATCTGCGATCTTCTGCTACTGCTGGTGCTCCCCTTCCGTATCGTCTACCACTTCCTGGGCAACAACTGGACATTTGGAGAACCATTCTGTCGTGTTGTGATTGGGCTCCTCTATGGAAACATGTACGGCTCAGTGGTTTGTCTGGCACTGATCGCCATGGATCGCTACATAGCTCTCGTTCACCCTTTTGGTGCCAAGATGCTTCGAAGTAACAAGAATTCTGTCTGTATGAGTGTTTTGGTTTGGGTAGTGGTTTTAGCTGCTGTTGTGCCCTTATTAGCCTCACAACAGTCTTATAAGATAATCGACTCTCCTCTAACAACCTGCCATGATGCACTACCTATAGAACAGCAAGAAAAGTACTTCCTGCCGTACTTTGCTATTCTCTTCTCCATATGCTTCCTGCTTCCACTGTTGGTTGTACTGTTCTGCTATTCTGCAGTGTTACACACCCTTATGGCTGAAGGGCAGCGTTTTGCACATGCGATTAGAGTGACTGTGCTGATGTTAATGGTTTTAGTGGTTTGCTTATTGCCTAGTAACATTCTCTTGCTTTTGCATTACTCCAAATCAGCTTTTGACCTTTATGTTCCATACCAGATCGCTTTGTCTTTCAGCACCTTTAACAGCTGCTTCGATCCTTTCATCTTTTATTATGTGTCTAAAGATTTCAGAAAGAAGTTATGGGAGGCTCTCAGATGTTCTGGGTATGATTCAGAGTCCTCCTCAGAATCGAGGACAAAGATAACCTTACTATCAAAGATGAGCAGGACTGAAGGAGCAGCCTGATCAAGAGTTTAGCATGACAGGTATGCAAATCAGAAGACATTAGGTTATGTAAGTCAAAAATTCTAGGGCGTATTGAATGATTACTATATGATAACTGTCTGTCCACCCACCTGTCAGTCTGCCTATCTGTGTGTATAACTTAAAATTAGTTTAATTTGCACGGGAAAAACTGGCATGAGGAGATATGAATTCATTTCCTCCTTATTTCCTTTAGTGATTAGTGATACATGAGACAAATAGATATATTTAAAAACATTTAAAAAGGAAAGGCAACATGCAACAGTAGTCATGCTTTAAGGCTTTCTTGCATGAAGCCCACTGCATGTCGGCATCTGAAATATGCATGCATTGAATGTTGTTTGTAAAGATACACAAGATGACTCAGTGGCCTCCATGGCCGGAAGTTGACTGCTAGATTAATAACGGTGGAATACAAATTGCCATTTTCACACTGCCACAAACAGTCATTTATATTATATTATATTATATTATATTATATTATATTATATTATATTATATTATATTATATTATATTATATTATATTATATTATATTATATTATATTATATTATATTATATTATATTATATTATATTATATTATATTATATTATATTATATTATATTATATTATATTATATTATATTATATTATATTATATTATATTATATTATAGTAAACAGTAATGAAGGATGTGTCTATTAATTTAGAATAAATGTGGAATATATAACTGCATTTTAATTTAACTGTGAACTAAATACCGAATGCATTTAATGAGTTCAAACTGTGAAAGGTAAAATGTAATGTACATTTCAGCCATGTAATATACAATGTGACAATGCAGTTGTGGTGTATAGTATTAACCATTAATTAGCAAATGGAGGAATAAAATGCCCTTGTTCTTGCAATAGAAGCATCTGTATCGTTGTGTATCTTTGTGTACTTCCTGTACTTAACCACATCAAATCTGCAACCATGTCTAACTCTTATGTCAAGAAGTGATGGTTGCATTTTTTGTGTTGTTAATTCCTAACATTAATTATGTACAAGACCACCAAAAATGTATTTGAATGTATTTAATCAGTATGTTGTTTTAAAAACCTGACATATTCATTTTTGTATGATGATTTGCTTAAAAAGTATACCTCTCTCCCATTACCTTTACTTATAAAAATTAAAATGATATGTACGAACAACACAACATTTAATGATTTAACTACTGTAGCTGCTAAAATGAGCATTCTGAATTTAGTACTCCTTTTAGTGGACATTACCGACCTCTAGTGGAGACATTTAAAACCTTGATATGACTGAGAATTGAAAAACTAAAACTCCCTACAAGTTTTTATCAGTCTGAGGTATTTTCTTTTTTAAACAATGCAAAAATACACGGGTGGATATCCCAGACAGAGTTTGACTTTTTATATTGCCAGCACTCTATTAGACCTGTTTTTAATAGTCTTCCAAAGATTCACAAAAGTCTTTTGTCCAAGTGTGGCTCAGACTAATGCTCTTTTATCTCCTTTAAAGCAATCTGTTGACTATTCCATTAAAATGTTTGTTCATTTGTTACCATATTAGAGATTCAACAGATTTATTAATAAAAACCGAATGTGTATGATCTACCAAAGACATCTTTGTCACTCACTTTGGATATTACTACTAGTCTTTATAGAAATATTTCACATGAGAAGTGTCTTTGTATGCTTAAACATTAACAGTCTCAGCAAGGAGAAGCGAGTGCACCTTCAGAATTTCTAATACAGATGACCTCTTATGTCTCAAAATGCAATTATATCTTTTTTTGATTATGATTTGAGTGAGTGGTATTGCAATGGGTTCCATTTTTGCCCCAAATTATGCCAACTTATTTGTGGGTTTCTTTGAGCATTGTTATATATTTTATAGTGATGTTAATCATTTTCTTCCATGTATCTTAAAATGGTATAGATATATTGATGATATATTCTGTATCTGTATCTGGGTGATCAATACAGCTCATGAATTTGTGACAATTTTAAATAGTTATGTGGATAATTTCAAATTTACTTTGGAAGTGAATGTTCTACTTGACATGTGGGTGAGAAAAATGAAGGTAGGCTATATAACAACTTTATTACAAAAGATACAAATTGTAACACTCTTTTGCTTGCCGCTAGTTTTCATCCGACCTTTTAGAAAAAGGGACTTACCAAGAGTCAGTTTTAAAGATTGAGGAAAATTTGAAGAATTTGCAAAATGGATATTCACCTAATTGGACTGAAGACGAAGTGTTTATGATGCCACCAATTTCTCTCTGTGATGCTAAAAATGTGATGATTTCTAAATGGTATCATTGTTTGTTATTGGTTGGGTTCGGTTACAACATACTGTAGTATATACTGACAAACAGGCAAATGCAAAAGTGTGCATTATTATATTTGTGAACACACAAAAGAATATGTACAGTATGTCTGATTTGTAAGAGCACAGTTAACATGCCCTAGATTGACTCACAACAACAAATGGCCCTTTGATTTCATTCTTCCTCTTGCTTTGTTATTGAACTGTCTGCATGTTCATGTTGTCCTGTCACTGTTTAAAGAAGTAGAAACAGAAAAGGAGAAACATGAAATAGCTGGCCATAACAACTGACAGTTGAACTGATTCTGTGCTGTGGTTTATTTGCAATCAGACTGCAATAATTCAACGGTTTATTTTTTTGATTTCTACATTAGCTTCTTTAATTATACATTACAGCCTTTAGACATGCTCCACAAACTCTTGCTTGTCACTGAAACATATAATGACATTCCTAATAACAGTCTATTTTTTTCACTTGGATTCCCATATTCAGTGGTTTTATAAATGATTGATTTAAGGAGAACACAAGGGCAGGCTTCATTTGCTTTTTGCAAACATTCATTGGTAAACTGGAATGTCCCCACTTGCCTGCACACTGTCAAAGGGCTTAGATTGATAAAGTAGCACTACATTTATACTAAAAAAGTTATACTAAAAATGTATACTTGTGTATAAGTATAATATAAGTTAGTGTTTTTTTTAACCACCACATTTAGTTGTACCATCCGACCTTTTAGAAAAAGGGACTTACCAAGAGTCAGTTTTAAAGATTGAGGAAAATTTGAAGAATTTGCAAAATGGATATTCACCTAATTGGACTGAAGACGAAGTGTTTATGATGCCACCAATTTCTCTCTGTGATGCTAAAAATGTGATGATTTCTAAATGGTATCATTGTTTGTTATTGGTTGGGTTCGGTTACAACATACTGTAGTATATACTGACAAACAGGCAAATGCAAAAGTGTGCATTATTATATTTGTGAACACACAAAAGAATATGTACAGTATGTCTGATTTGTAAGAGCACAGTTAACATGCCCTAGATTGACTCACAACAACAAATGGCCCTTTGATTTCATTCTTCCTCTTGCTTTGTTATTGAACTGTCTGCATGTTCATGTTGTCCTGTCACTGTTTAAAGAAGTAGAAACAGAAAAGGAGAAACATGAAATAGCTGGCCATAACAACTGACAGTTGAACTGATTCTGTGCTGTGGTTTATTTGCAATCAGACTGCAATAATTCAACGGTTTATTTTTTTGATTTCTACATTAGCTTCTTTAATTATACATTACAGCCTTTAGACATGCTCCACAAACTCTTGCTTGTCACTGAAACATATAATGACATTCCTAATAACAGTCTATTTTTTTCACTTGGATTCCCATATTCAGTGGTTTTATAAATGATTGATTTAAGGAGAACACAAGGGCAGGCTTCATTTGCTTTTTGCAAACATTCATTGGTAAACTGGAATGTCCCCACTTGCATGCACACTGTCAAAGGGCTTAGATTGATAAAGTAGCACTACATTTATACTAAAAAAGTGATACTAAAAATGTATACTTGTGTATAAGTATAATATAAGTTAGTGTTTTTTTTTAACCACCACATTTAGTTGTACATTGTAGAATAACTGACAAAGTCCAACAAAACAATATCCAATGAGAAAAATCCAATGAGGTCATAATAGAGTGACTGTAAGATTTTAGTTTGCATTGTATGTTTTGTACTGGGTTATTTTCACTGCAATAGAAAACATGTTTAAATTAGAGACTGGTCTGTTATTCCCCTTTTTGGCAGTTATGCAATGCCATTGTGTTTGGATTGTGTGTGTTGAAAGCAGAATTTCCACAGAATTTCCACATGACCCCAGCTAAAATATAAAAACTCACGGTTAAATGTTCCTACCATACTGAGGACGGCAGCAGAGAAGACAGCATCTGAAAACAAATGCTTACAGGACCATGAGACTTTACATCCTTTTCAGTTTTCTGCTTTTGGCTGGTAAGAAATTACAATTTAATTGCAAAATGGACATTAGCTTTCAACTAGAAAACGCTTTTTAAACCTAAAAAAATGATTCCCTTAAATTTTATTCTAACTTGCTTATGGAAAGAAAAAAAGCACATGTCTACAGCACAAATAAAACATGTTCTAATCTGACTTTGAATCTGTTAAATGCATGACATTTTCTCACAAACAAGAAGTATTTAGATTATTAGTTTTATTGTTACCGTTTTAAGATGTGCTATGATTCCCTTAAATTTTATTCTAACTTGCTTATGGAAAGAAAAAAAGCACGTCTACAGCACAAATAAAACATGTTCTAATCTGACTTTGAATCTGTTAAATGCATGACATTTTCTCACAAACAATAAGTATTTAGATTAGTTTTATTGTTACCGTTTTAAGATGTGCTAAATTTTACTAATGTTTTATGGTGTGTCAATAATAAAAAAAAACATTGCGAAAAGAGTAAACATGCAAAGTAAACAAAAAACGAATGATGCAAATTAAAGTCTCAATGTGTGTCTCTTTTTCAGTGATTTGCAGCTGTCTTGTTGATGCTAGTCAAGGTATGAAATGTAAATGAAGAAAAAGACAAACAGGCAAACACATATAAAGACAGACAGAGCATAAAGTAACACAGAAAATTATTTTCATTTCACAGTGAAATTTGGGCCCCTCTGCAGTGGTAACTCAAGTAACCGCAAAAGAGGATGTGATACAAAGTATGGCTGTGGAAACTATGGAGCCAGTCGGTAAATTGTGTGTTGTGTTTTTTTTTTCTTCTGACTCCCCTTATATGGAGCAAACAAATCTCTCAAACAAATGTAGTTTTCTCTGACCTCTCCTCATAGCTCTTCCCAGAAGTCATTGATGACACATTTAGTGGAGGCTGTGTTATGATATATTGACATCATTCTTTTGTTTTGAGTGTGTTACCGCACAGACTTGACACTACCCAACAACAGCCCAGTGTTACCAAAAATCTTCTGCGCGAGTATAGACAACATACTAATAAAATGCATAATCATTTACACACCTTCATTTAGTTTTAAATCCATATCTTAATTTTTTTGAAACATAAGATATTTTCCAAACAGACCAGGCTGTTTTGTTTTTTTCATACAGTG